CTTACCTAAACAGAGAAACAGAATGACCAAGGGCAAAAAAGCAGCGGGAGTGGGAGTGACTTGTTACTGGCTTCCCCATTGACTTTGCTTGTGGGAAGCTGACAGGGTGTGTCAGGAATCTCCCTCCCTCCCTCCCTCTTCCCTGCTCTCTCTCTCTCTCTCTTTCTTCTCCCTCCCTCCTTTCCACATATAATATAGGCTTGTGCCATTTGCCCTCCCCTCATGACCCTCAAGAGAGTCCCCATGAAGCTGCTGCCTCCTGGACTGACCCACGGAACTGCCTGCTGCTTTACTGGGGGGAGGTGGAACAAAGGGAGCCAAAGACCATGAGGAAAATTGCACCCCCGCTCCCCATTGTGGCGTGTCCCCAAGGAATCCCTCGAGGAAGAGGGCTCATCCATCGACCACCGGTGCCCCCCAGCCAGCCCTACCTTGCCAGCAGGCATCCAAGTTGTTCCCTCAACACCCCACATCAGTTAAGAGATTTCAAATTTCTGCCTTGTTTCCAAAGCAGCCAATTGCCACTCACCCATCGGGCCTCGCTGCCAGCCAATTGGGCAAAGGGGACAGAGGGAGGCAGGAAAGAGGTCAGGGATACGCCCATGATGATCATGTGACCTGGGCAGACCATGGCAGCACAGTAGTGCTGAAGCAGCCACAAATTTCCCAAATGTCAATCCCACTGGAGTCATGGGTCCCGGATTTTGGGTGTATTCTGTAAGTTAGCCCATTTGAAGTACCTTGGCTCAAAAAATTGTTGCCCTATGAAGGTCAACTTTTGCTCAGTTGAAGGTTACAGACATGAGAATTTTAGTAGTACTTTGATAGCAGTGCTCTCCAATGCAGAATTTAAAAACAAAAGTTCAGTTACTTGGATTTGACTGATGCTTAAAAGACTGATAAGACAGATTCCCATTACAGTATAGTTCTGAAAAACAAAGCACAAAAGCATGGGTTGCAGTAATGAAAGAAAGAAAACATGCTGTTTTTAGTATCAAACTTTTCTACCAAGGTGTATACAATTTCAACATATAGAAATTTAAAAAGTAGAAATTTCCCATCATCATACTTAGAGAAGCTTTGCTACTGAATTCCTGTTTCTCTTGTAGTAAAATTTAAAAGCTAGATTATCCTTCTCTGCACTCTACATCTATCCCAAATTATTCAGTCCTTAAATTTTTAATTCTGATTCACCTGCTGAGCTCACTGTATAATATAGACTTGTAATCATTTAGATCCTGTTTTTTATTATTTTTCTTTGACCAGAATTTGAGATTTCATGAAAGCTGTTTAGGTATTATTAGATTTTTATTCCACCTTTTTTTTATTGATTGATTGATTATTGGTCAAGTCAAGGTGGGGTACATACTCAATGCTCCCACCTCCTATTTTCTTCACAACCACCACCCTGTGAGGTGGGTTGGGCTGAGAATGACTGGCCCAAAGTCTCCCCAGCTGGCTTTCATGCTCACGGGAGGCCTAGAATTCAGTTTCCTGGTTTCTAGGCCAGCACCTTAACCAATACGCCAAACTGGATCTCTGGTATTTCTCTTGGTTTCTAGGCCATCACCTTAACCATTACACCAAACTGGGTCTCTGGTATTTTTCTTTACATGTGTAGCATATGCAGCCAGTCGTAGCAAAAGCAAAAAAAAGTGAGATCAAGCTGTTTAATATTCAGTGCTAATTCTCTCTGAGAACAGAACATTTTATTGCCGTGCAGTGGGTGAGATGGCTATTATGTATATACACACAATATCCATAAAAACCATCTCTCACCAAAACTAATGCATTTAATTGTGCAGTGCTAGGTGAATAAAAGAAAACACAGTGGATGCAAGAAATGTCCATTTTGGAGCTGCTGAACAAGAAAAATCTTAAGTGACATTGGCACTGTGCCTTTTCTGTTTTGTGTTTAGCACAGCCACTTCCATAGCATTTTAACAAAAAACTCCCAAGACAAAACAAATGTTTATGTTGATATATATTCATCAGACAATTATTACTGCAGTAAATGGTGACTCCTCTGAATAATCAGTTAAAGATTGCACCCTATAGATATATTTCTCATGTCTATTTTAGCAGTCTTCAACCTGATGCCCTTTAAATGCTGGTTGAGGATGACACAAATTGTCGATACACACATTAGAAGGTCATCAGGTTGAAAAGGTTCTGTACTACCAAAACAATCATGCAATCTACACAGTCATTTACAAAAATGTACTTAGTGTGCAGCCATATGTGGGAAACTAAA